ACTTGGTATGCAGCTATTGATCTGGCCAATGCCTTTCTCTCGATACCAATTTCAAAGGACCATCAGAAGCAGTTTGCCTTCAGCTAGCAAGGCCAACAGTATATTTTCACAGTGCTTCCTCAGAGGTATAACAACTCCCCAGCACTATGTCATAATTTAGTCTGTAGGGATCTTGATCAACTTTCCCTTCCACAAGGCATTACACTGGTCCATTATATTGATGACATTAAGCTGACTGGACCTAACAAGGTAGAAGTATCAAAGACTCTAAACTTATTGGTGAGGCATATGCGTGCTAGAGGTTGAGAAATTAACCCAACAAAAATTCAGGCACCTTTCACCTCAGTGAAATTTCTAGGGGTCCAATGGTGTGGGGCATGTCGAGATATTCCTACTAAAGTGAAGTATAAATTATTGTATCTGGGTTGCCTCACAACTAAAAAGGAGGCACGACGTCTGGTGGGCCTCTTTGGACTTTGGAGGCAACATATCCCTCATTTGGGTGTGTTGCTTTGGCTTATTTATCAAGTGATACGGAAAGCTGCTCCATATGAATGGGGCCAAGAACAGAAGGCTCTGCAACAGTTTCAGCCTGCCGTGCAGGCTGCTCTGCCACTTGGCCTATATGATCCGGCTGATCCAATGGCGCTTGAAGTGTCTATAGTAGACAGAGATGCTGTTTGGAGTCTTTGGCAGGTCACTATTGGTGAATTGCAATGCAGACCCTTGGGATTTTGGAGCAAAGCTCTGCCATCCTCTGCAGATAACTACTCTCCTTTCAAGAAACAGCTTTTAGCTTGTTACTGAACACCTAACCATGGGCCACCAAGTCACCATGAGGCCTGAGTTGCCCATAGCGAACTGTTTGTTGTCTGACCCACAGAGTCATAAAGTTGGACATGGACAGCAGCACTCTATCATTAAATGAAAGTGGTACATCAGAGATCAGGCTCGAGCAGGACCTGAAGGCACAAGTAGGTTGCATGAGGAAGTGGCCCAAAGGCCTATGGTCTCCACTCCAGTCACATTACCTTCCCTCTCTCAGTCTGCACCTATGGCCTCATAGGGAGTTCCTTACAATCAGTTGACTGAGAAAGAGAAAACTCGTGCCTGGTTTACAGATGGTTCTGCACGATATGCAGGCACCACTCGAAAGTGGACAGCAGCAGCACTGCAGCCCCTTTCTGGGACTTCCTTAAAGGACAGTGGTGAAGGGAAATCTTCCCAATGGGCAGAACTTCGGGCCGTGCATGTGGCTGTTCACTTTGCATGGAATAAGAAATGGGCAAATGTGTGATTATATATGGATTCATGGGCTGTGGCTAATGGCTTGGGTGGATGGAAGGAGCATGATTGGAAGATTGGTGATAAGGATGTATGGGGAAGAGGTATGTGTATACATCTCTTGGAATGGGCCAAAGGAGAAAAGATATCTGTGTCCCATGTGAATGCCCACCAAAAGGTGACCTCAGCAGAGGAGGACTTTAACAATCAGGTGGATAGGATGACACGTTCAGTGGAAACCAGCCATCCTTTTTCCCCAGTTACTCCTGTCATTGCTCAATGGGCTCATGAACAAAGTGGCCATAGTAGCAGGGATGGAGGTGATGCATGGGCTGAGCAACATGGACTCCACTTACCAAGGCTGATTTGGCACCCCCACTGCTGAGTGCCCAATTTGCCAGCACCAGAGACCAACACTGAGTCCACGATATGGAACCATTCCTTGGGGTGATCAGCCAGCAACCTGGTGGCAGGTGATTATACTGGACTACTTCCATCATGGAAAGGACAGTGTTTTGTTCTTATTGGAGTAGATACTTATTCTGGATATGGATTCGCCTTCCCTGCACACAATGCTTCTGCCAAAACTGCCATCTGTGGGACTTACAGAATGTCTTATTCACAGTCAGAGTATCCCACACAGCACTGCTTCAGACCAAGGGACTCACGTCACAGCAAATTAAGTGCAGCAATGGGCCTATGTGCATGGAATTCACTGGTCTTACCATGTTCCCCATTATCCTGAAGCAGCTGGCTTGATAGAACGATGGAATGGCCTACTGAAGATACAATTACAGCACTAGCTAGGTGGCAATATCTTGAAGGGTTGGGGCAATGTACTCCAGGAGGTTGTATATGCTCTAAACCAGCATCCAATATATGGTTCTATTTCTCCAATAGCCAGGATTCACGGGTCCAGGAACCAAGGATTGGAAACGGGAATGGCACCACTCACTATTACCCCTACTGACCCACTCAAAAATTTTTTGTTTCTTGTCCCTGCTACCCTATGCTCTGTGAGTCTGAAGATCTTAATCCCAAAAGGAGGAACACTCCCACATGGAGACACAATACTGATTGCATTGAACTGGAAATTAAGAATACAACCCAGCCATTTTGGTTTCCTCATGCCTCTGGATCTACAGATAAAGAAGGGCATTACTGTACTATCTGGTGTGATAGATCCTGATTACCAAGGGGAAATTGGATTGACATTACATAATGGAGGTAAAGCAGAATATGTCTGGGATACAGGAGATTCTTTAGAACGTCTCTTAGTACTACCATGCCCTGTGATTAAAGTCAATGGAAAATTACAGCAACCCAATTCTGATATGACTACTAATGGCCCAGACCCTTCAGGAATGAAGGTTTGGGTCACCCCACCAGGCAAAGAACCACGGCCAGCTGAGGTGTTTGCTGAGGCCAAGGGAAATACAGAATGGATGGTGGAAGAAGGTAGTCCTGAATATCAGTTACAACCACGTGACCAGTTGCAGAAACGAGGACTGTGATCATTGTATTTCTTCATTGTATATGTGCATGAACTATTTTTGTTTCCTTCTGTTATGAACTGTGAAATGTAACTAAGATTAATGTGTTTCAGTTGTATGTGTGTTAGCATATCATGTTAGGCACAAATATGATTTTATAATTATCCTCATTTAGAGATTATATATGGTTAAGAAGATGAGTACAACTTCCAAGTTGACAAGGGGTGGAATGTGATAGTTGGAGCTGTCTGTCAAGTAGGCTGGACCACAATTTTGTGTGGTTTAAAAGCAACTGTGATGTGGGTTGTTCCAATGATGGGATCGGATGTATATGTTTTGAGCAGCCAATCCGCTGAAAGGGAGTTTCCCTAGGAGTGTGGCCTGCTTCCAATATATTTAAGGACATCCTTGGAAAAGAGACACTCTTTTGTGGACTGGGATTCTGTAGTGCTGCCTACGACTGTCCATGAGTGAACAATCCACCATTCGGCCTAGAGATCTTGGATTCATCATTCGTTGCAGTCAACAGCCAGTATACTGCCTGTCAAACTTGAGTTCCTCAGCCCCTGCAGCTGTGTGTCAGGAAAAGCCTCTAGCTTGACATTTGATCCAAGAACTTGGGACTTGCCAGCTTCTATACGTGTGTGAGCCATTTTCCTAAGATAAATTTCTCTTTCTCTCTCTCTCTATATATATAAGCTTTACTAGTTTTGCTTCTCAAGAGAACCCAGTCTAACACAATGGTCACACTCAGTCTTATGATCACACTGGATCTTACAGTCATACTGATCTTACAGTCACACTGGATCTTATGGTCACACTGGATCTTAAGGTCACACTGGATCTTATGGTCTGCATGTATGCATTTTCTGGATTATACTCACATATAGCCCACTGGTATGATTCTTGCCCTAAATAATGTCATTTTACTGGTGCTTGAAGAAAGCTACTTCACACACGTGGAAGGAGGCAGAAAAGGAGAAAAGCAGGCAGGCTGAATATTAATCCAAAAATCTCAATCATATTCTAATGCAAAGCCAACCTATGGCAGAATTAGGACTCAAACTGAACAGAAGGAGCCTTGGAAGGAAGCAGAGACCCATCTCCAGAGTTAGTGAAACAGATAAAGGATGGGGACAAAAGGCAGGAGCAGGTACTGTGACCTTGATGCAAAAGTGAGAGTCTCACCTGTCTATCACTATTACTATGGGATTAAAAGTACTAAAGAAAGGAAACTATTTTAATAAGATGAAAGTCAAATTGTCTCCATCATAGAACATAAAAATAAAAAATATATATAAAAAATATAGAACATCAAAATAAAATCAGTAATATTAATGCAAAAGAAGGAATGTGTTCAAAATCTATTACTCCTTCTCTGTAAGATAGTTTTCACATTAATTACTTAAACACTAAGTGTTTTAAAAATATAACATTTAATAGAAGATATGCACCCCTTCAGAACTAGAAATACTCTGACTTACAATGTATAATGTTATCACAGGCACAAACAGTTTCATGTCACAATGCCCGACATGATTTAAACAAAAGTCTTACATATTTTCCTAGTCAATTATAAACTAATTCATACATCTAAAAGCTATGTCTGTCTAAATATGACAGACTCTTATAAGCAAAATACTTTAAGTTTTCATTTGGAAAGCTAAAAAGAAGGAGGAATATGATCAATCATATTAAAAATTTGGTTTTGCAAAATTAGGATACTCAGTACTAAACCCACTTGTCCTGTTGCAAAGGACAAAGACAGAAGTTAAGTTGTACAGTTTCAGCCACACATAGTATTTTATGCCATTTTCCTTCAACTTTTCTTCCCACATTACCTCTAATGTGAGCAATAACCAGTCATTTCCTGTGTTTATTAGATAAGGCATATATTTTAAAATTTCAGACTTCAGAAACCACATTAAGCAATATAGTTTTATAAGATTTATTATTTCAGGTTATTTAAAATGCACACCCTTCAACATCAGACAACATTCAGAAGAATAAAAATTAAAAATCCATGAAGGGAAAATAGTTGAAAAGAGAAAAAGTACCTATGGAACAAAATCAAACCTATAACAAAAACCTGCTGAGCTCCAAGAGACAGAAATGAATTCTGAACAACACTGATGAGAGACTTTGACCCATCACTGTACTGTACCCCACCCCATTTCCCGTCTAGAGCCTTCTGCAGAGCTTAAATGAGGAGCGATTTTTTACCTTATATCCAGGTCCTAACTGATGAACGGCAAATATCTGCGCTGGGTTGAGGGCCTCACTGAACACGTACACCGCACCCAGCTGGCCACAGAACACCCTATTGGCATCAGCCGTCTCTGAAGATCCGAGAAAGCACTTGTCATAACTCTGTGTGCAAAAAGTCAATACAAAAGTCAGATACATTGTTGTTGTTATGTGCCGTCAAGTCAGCCCGACTCCTAGCGACCCCTCCTTGGGTTTCCGAGGTGCTATCACTACAGAAGTAGATTGCCCCATCTTCCTTCCGAGGAGTGACTGGTGGGTTTGAACCACCAGCCTTCTGGTTAGCATTCAAATGGCCTAGGCACTATGCCACCAGAGCTCCTAAAGTCAGATATAGTATTTTTTAATGACGGAATTTTTAAGGGAGCACAGCTTCATTGTCGTATCTTAAAGTACAACAGCACGAACAGAGCAAAGAGTCAAACGGTGCAGACCCCTCCACCACCCACTGCCGTCCACTCCAGCCCAACTCCCAGGGACCCTGCAGGACAGAGGTGAATTGCCCCATAGGGTTTCTTTACGGAGGCAGACTGCTTCTTCTTTCTCCCATGGAGTGGTTGGTGGGTTCAGACCGCCAACCCTTCAGTTAGCAGCCAAGTGTTTAACCACTGCGCCACCAGGGCTACTTAAACATACATTATAGAGTGCTTCAATAATAAAAACCATCTAAAGATTTACAGAAAAAAGTAGTAGTTTATTAAAGAACACACATTTATGTTTCAGCAAATAAAGAATAACCCACTCCAATTTGACACTGTCCAAGTTTTATTTATTCACCAAAGTAAAACTAATTTTAAAATGCTAATGATTTGTAAATTTCCACAGAGAGACAGGTGAATGTAAACACATTCCAAACTTTAACCACAAACACACAGGGCCTAACTGTGAAATTCTCCCACTTGTCCATTACACAGAAGTCCCTCCACTTCTCCACACTACGTCCAGGTCACAAGGGCAGCCCCGTCTGTGCCCAGTAAGCGGCTACGTGGAACTGAGTAAGTAGCAGCCACCGCAATCTGCCGCTAAAGCTGACACACAGGCCCTGCACTGCTGAGCTCAGGACCCGAGCAGCCACCCGTTCACAAGACCCTTGTGCCTCTGCTTTTGAAACCTTCCTTATCAACTCAGACCAGCCACTGGCCAGTCGCCGGCCCCAGCCCCACAAGCCATCCCACACCATACTACGACAAGCAAGACTTTACACTTGTGCAGGGACCCTTTGGAGGCTGAATAAAATAACAAAAATTTGTGAATGGGTCCAATGACAGACACCCAAGCTTTACTTCAAGGTGCCACAGTTCAAGCTCTGACTGCATGAAGTGTGTGTGCGTGTGTGTTACTGACCAGGCCTCTGTTTCTGGAAAATAGTTATTTATTGCAAATAATTATAAAACCTAAGTCCCTTTTTAAAAATTGCTCTCTTCAGTAGTTGGCATCAGTCAGAGAGCCCCCTGGGGTTTCTCCCTCCATAACGAAGAGGCCGCCTCCTCTCTGAGGCAGCAGGCAGCCGAATTCCATCTACATCCTCTTCTGACAAAACCACTCCCTTTGTATCTACTGATTGTGAACAAGTGCTCCAGACAGAAACGCCCACTTCTCCCGTAAAGGGCCAAAGAGAGACTATGTCCAGTTTTCCCGGTCACATGTGGCTTCTGTCACACAGTCTTTTATCTTCCACTGTCCTGTCTTTGGTTGGCTGATTGGTTGGCTGGCTTTCAAACAGCCTTTTAAAAATGTCAAAACCATTTTTGGCTCCCAGGCTAGGCTCAGGGTCGGCTTGCAGGGCGCGGTCCACTGACTGCTGACCTAGAGCAACCCTGGACTATGTCCACAGAGCTATTTAGGCCAGCACATGACAGAAGAGCCACGGCCGATCCTCAGGACAAGACGTCCAGTGCGAGGCAAACAAAAGGAAGCAGCGCATCTGACAGGAAGAGGTCATGAGGGGAAACCAGGTGTGCTCCCACGCTGTGTGCTACCGGCTGGAACCACTGCTGGCATCAAAACACACCTCTACTCTGGCTTCATGAGACAAGCAAGGACAGACCAAGGAGAACCCCAACACAGGGAAACAGGACGACCTCTACAGCCTTAACTCCAGGAACCTCCTCAGAACCCAACTGGGCTGTCTCCGCACTGCTACCAGCCTTGCCCACTCTCTTTGCTGCCATTACCAGTCAGGTAACTCATCTCCCTGCTTCTGCCATGGCTTCTCTCCAGAATATTTTACACACGAGCTCTGGTGCCATAGTGCCTAAGGCACTTGCCTGCTAACCAGAAGGCTGGCAGTTCAAACCCACCAGCCACTCCTCGGAAAGAAGGTGGGGCAATCTACTTCCGTAGTGATACTGCCTCGGAAACCCAAGGAGGGGTCGCTATGAGTTGGGTCCGACTCGACGGCAGTGAGTTTTGGTTTGTCTTGGAAGCCAGATTCATGCCAGGATCACATCACTTACCTCCTCGAAACCCTCCTCCAAAGGACCTTTCTACCGGGTAAGGTGGCATGATGTCTATGAACTCTGACCTTTTAGCTGCACAACCTGTCTATCACCAACACTGCATCCCTTCCGCTCCTGCTGCGCCAACAAAATGGCACCACTGCTGGCCCGGGGGTTCCAGCTCGGCCTCCAAGCCTTGTCCTCACTGCACCCACTGAGTGCACGTTTCCCCACGTGTCCGCCTGGCTGGCTCCCTCACCTCTTCTCACGGACATCATCTCGGGACAGTCTAGTGCTCGCTTCACTATGTCCACACATCTTGACAACACCCCACCCTGAGTCACTCCGTGTAAAGTCTCTCCTGCACTCTGAAATAAGGAGTAAGAAACATTCTTGATGCTGGAGATTCTGCAAAGAGTACAGTACTGAAGTACTGTTTCCTGATCTGAATCACTTAGTAATTTGGCCATGGTATTCTACTGTTTTGGTATCTCTAATCATGCACTTTAGCACTTTTCTTATACTATATTTAAAACTTTAAAATTCACTTAATAAAAAAGAAACAAACATTCAAAGTAAAACTCCTAAGTTTCTACAAAACTATTTTGTTATTTAATTCACCCAATAAGTAATGATAGAACACACTCTCAAACACATTAAAATATTCACAAAAAACTAAAGACTATCACTTACGTCATTTGTGTTGACATGCCAGGCCATGTCACCATAGGAAACCAGCTGTCCATTGACATAGCAGCGGATCTCACTGTTCCTCCACCGGTTGTAGATGTGGACAATGCTTATCATGTACCACTGCAATGAGCAAAGAGGGAAGGACATCACAGTGCAGGGTTTAGCTAACAGTGTCCAACGTGCACAGCATTCTGCATGAAAACACTCAAGGCAGTATTAATAACCATCTCTGTCCATTTCCTCAGGTTCCTCCTCCCACTTCTCATCATGCAGATGAAAGAACGGCCGCATAGGGTAAATCTGCGATGGACACAAAGCTAGGACCCCCTGAGAGCCCAGACTGTTAATCCTTCGCTACACCACATCCAGAATGCTAGACTACAACTTCTTGTGTTAATTCACTCAGTAAATATGTACACTGTCCCAGACACTATAAATAATACCCAGAGATGACTAGACAGAGGCTTGGCTCTCTCAAAATTTATGGTCCAATAACAGAGACATCCATTAGACAGGTAGACAAAGTAGACAAATACAGAATTACAAATTACGATAACTACTGTGTGGAGGGGGAAAAAAAATCCACCCACTGACATCAATTTGATTCTGACTCATAGTGACACTATAGGGCAGGGGAGAAATGCTCCACAGGGTTTCCAAGGCTGTGAATCTTTACAGAAGCAGACTGCCTCATCTTTCCTTCGTGGAGTGGCTGGTGGGTTTGAACCATCAACTTTTAGGTTAGTAGCAGAGCACTTCAACCACATAAAGAAGAATGTAAAACGAGAAAGAAAAACCTAGGATTCTACTTGGATGCAACATTTGCTCAACAGAACAACATTTAAGCATTTGAACTAAGGTTTCAATACTACACTTCACATTTACTGAATCTATGCATAACAATGAATAAGTTCATACTGAGTTGCTATTTATAATGATTATTTTAAGTGTCCATTTTGAAATGAGACAGTCTATATTCTGTAACAATTTGTGGATGTAATCTTTAGTCTCCTTAAGAGTTTGTAGCCTAAACCAAAGAACACTAAAGTGTAGAAAAAAGTAAATGATACATCAATATTTGAACAAGTAGGCCCTCAGCAGGAGCTCTGGTGACGTAGTGCCTAAGGCATCTGACTGCTAACCAGAGGGCTGCTGGTTCAAACTCAGCAGCCACCCTTGGAAAGAAGATTGGGCAATCTACTTCCATAGTGATACTGTCTCAGAAACCCAACGAGAGGTCGCTATGAGTCAGATTCGACTCGATGACAGGTAGTTGGGTTTGGTTTGGTTTTGTTTTTGATGCCCTCAGCACTTAAAGAAAAAAAAATTACACTAGTTTCTGTAAAAGCGTGAAATACAAATGTTCTCCAGATTACTTAAAAGCACTGTTCAATTATTTCCTATGTATTTAGAGAAATATAAAGGCACAAGAGTAATTATGTGCCACTAAAATAGTCATTATTTTAAGGTGTCCGAAACACCTTAACCAAAATTCAAATTTATTTATTTCAACTTACAAAGTAAAAGCCATGCACCAAGCACCGCTGAGATGACAACACTATGAACAACAGTGTGTCTCAATGACAGAATCAGTGTCAGGCCCAATGATTTACAGGCCAAAAACAATCTTTTATTATAAACTGAGTCCTTCACTTGGTCAGAGAGCACCAAATATGTTACCTACTGCCACTGAGTCAATTTCAACTCATACTGGCCATAGAAGACTGAGTAAAACTGCCTCATAAGGTTTCCAAGGCTGTGAATCTTTAAAAAGTTGACTACCTCATCTTTCTCCCATGCAGCAGCTGGTGGGTTCAAACTGCCTCCCTTCTGGTTATTAGCCAAGCATTTCATCAGTGTGCCACCAGAGCTCCTTAAAAAAAAAAAAAAAAAAACTCACTGCCATTGAGTAGAGATTCCTACTCATAGTGACCCCCATTGGGTTTCCAAGGCAGTAAATCTTTACGGAAGTAGATTGCCCCACCTTCCTTCCACAGAGCAGCTGGTGGACTTGAACCACCAACCTTCTGGTTAGCAGTCAAATGCCTTAGCCACTGCACCACCAGAGCTTCTCAGAGCTTCTTAGTGGGTAAATAACCAAATCAAAACCTTCCGACTCAGGGTGACCCTATGTGATAAGGTAGAACTGCCTCACAGGGTCTCTAAGGCTGTCAATCTTCACCGAAGCAAAGCTCAAACCAAACACACTGCCATGGAGTCAATTCCAACTCACAGTACCCCCAGAGGACAGAGTAGAACTGCCCCATATGGTTTCCAAAGCTGTAAATCTTTATTGAAGCAGACTGCCACATCTTTTCTCCTACGGAGCAGCTGGTGGGTTCCAACTGTCAAGCTTTGGTTAGCAACTGAGTGCTTTACCACAGCTCCACCAGACTTCCTTTTGCCACAAATATGTTAGCCCTGATTAAATTAGAAGATAGAGGGAAAACTTTAAATAGACCTTTAATAGCTCATGCCTTTAAATCTACAACTTATCAGGAAGAAGCAACAGAAACTGACCTTCAAGTAAACTTAAGAAAAATCTTAAAGAAATTTATGTGTCTAAGAATTGCAATTTACATATACTATCTGCCTTGGTTCCCTAGTGTTGCTATAACACAAACACCACAAGTGGATTACTTTAACAAACAGGAACTTATTCTCTTACAATTTAAGAAGCTAGAAGTCCGAGTTCAGAGTGCTGGCTCTAGGGGTTAGGGGTAGGCCCTTCAATCTTGGGCTTCAGCTCTGCCTCTTGTTCCAGGCCCACTGGAGCTAGAAGTGTCTTCTAACTCAGGCAACTGCCGAGGCTGACAAATAGCATAATCTCAAAATCAGTAGGCAACATGGCAGGCCACTGGTTCAAGTCCAGGAACTGGAGATGAAGACTCAGACAAATGTAGGATCCAGATGTGCCAGAAAGCTAGAGCCCTTCCTCAAAGGCAGGAGAAGTAGGCCACACCCTAAAGGCCACTCTGTAGCTGGTCACAGCAGATTCCACCATGGAGGTGATTACAGTCTCATCATGGGGAGTAACAGCATCCATTCGCCAAGCCACTCAAAACCATGGCCCACACAAGCTGACACACAACCCTAACTACCACACCACCTTCACTGAGTCTGAAAATATTTAACCAGGATACCTTCTAGATAACACTGAAGATACAATCTTTAAACATTTTGGAGCAAAATTTTTAGAAACTAAATAAGCAACGACATCCTGCCCAAAGACAATCTGAAGAGAAATAATATTAGATGTATCATGCTTATTCACGTGCCTAAAGTAGAAAACTACTCACTCAACACACATGGATGGAGTCATTAGGACTGAAACTAAACCCACTACCACCAATTTGATTCCAACTCATAGTGACCCTACAGGACACAGGAGAACTGCCCATAGGGTTTCCAAGGCTGTAAATCGCTACTGAAGCAGACTGCCTCATCTTTCTCCCACCCAGCAGTGGTGGGTTTGAACCGTCGACCTCTTGGTTAGTAGCCAAATGCTTTAACCACTGTGCCATCAGAGTTCCTTCTTGCTACTAAGTATCAGATAATCTAGTGTATTGAACGTGTTGAACTTTAAATCCACACAGTGTGGAACTGGGTTCCCAGTTTACTAGCTCTATGATTTTCAGCAACTCATATAGCATTTCTGAACCCTTTCCATCTAGTGATAATGTCTACTCCGGGGGGTAATTGGAACCCCTGTAGATAATAGATAGGTAGGTATGAAAGCTATGAAGAATAGTTGCTAATACATAGTTGGCATCCAAGAATAAGATACTATTAACTAAATTTCTATTTTTTATCTAATAGTTCCTCATAACGAGATTGTCTGCTAAAATTGTGATTGTTAACTCTTCAAAGTCATTCATTCATTCAAACAACACTGACTGAAATCCCACTGCACGCTGCATCTCTCCTATAGTGTGGGCACATAAACAGACAACCGAGAGAAATGAACACATACACAATCACGGAACACCGGGAATGTTCCAAACACAGAACGGGGAGCCGAAGGTGGTAGCGACCACCCGGGAAAAGGAAAAAAGGAAAGGTGACTGGAGGGGCTGCCGGAGAAGAAGCCACTGAGCAAGTTAAGAGGAGATTCAAGGTGAGTCTGGACAGACAGGCACCACTGAGTAGAGCAGGCAAGAAACAGCCCCAGTAGAGGAATCTTCACGTGGTACAAATCCACAAAGCACAGAAGCTGGCACCTTGTCACAGCATTTGGGGTCAGTCCAGGAACCAGGGGGAGCCGGGCTGCAAGGGGACCTGGAGGACACCTTAGAAATAGGGCCTTTGTTTTCTGCATAGGTAATTTGAGCAGCAAATAACTGTGAACAGCAAAGTGAAATGATTCTCTCTGTCCTTTAGAAAAATGACTGGCAGCAGTGTAAACGAGGGATAGAGTCAGGCAAGTCCAGATAAATAAACTCAATGTATGCAGCAAAGGCCTCTGATAAAAAACACACAACAGTTGCCATAAGAAACCCTCAGAGCCTGAATTAAGACAGAGGTAATGGAGCTTTAAAAAGAGGCCGATAGGGACAAATTTGAGAGGTATAATTAACAACTCATAGAAAGTGTTGATATAGAAAAGCTGGTTTCCGACTCCTCGCATAGATGTGCAGTGGCACCAGTAACGTGGTAACTTAAGACAAGAAGATGATTAAGGTTGGAATCGCAAAGCAATCACACAGAGTTTGTCCCTGGTCATACAACACTATCATATGATAAAGTTAAATGAATGAATAAGTGAATGAACTGCTCTCTGATGAGGTTACAGCACTCTCGGCTCCCTTCCACTGGTGCTACACTGCTCTGCAGACGGGAGACACCACTCAGCGTGGCACTGCTCCAGATCACCCTGCTTCTGACTAGATAGCTGTTGATTCAAGTAAACGAGAACGGCTCTGGATACTACGTATGCACATGGACACTATTTATGTCAAAACAGATTTGTAAAAGAAGGCTATCACCAGAAACAAGGAAGAGGGGTCCTTATCAAGAATTCACAAGGCAAATATCACAACCTGAGGACAAGGAAAGAAACTGAAGATAAGAAAACATAACATGGTATTTATACAAATGTCAATCGTAACTAACTTGTCCTG